GTTGGACCTGGGGTCCTTCTGTGTGGAGTTTGCATGTTCTTCTCGTGCTTGTGTGGGTTTTCTCCGGGTACTCTGGTTTCCTCCCACCGACCAAAAACATGCATGTTCTTCTGCCTTCAGGCCCAGGCCTCTCGTGCAAAAGAGATCTGTGACCTCAATGGGATTTGCCTGGTTAAATAAAGGTTTATGTGTTGGCTAAATATGATTTCGAATCAGTGTGGATGTGCATCCAATGAGTCTCATTAAAAAAAAAATCTGTACCAACATGCGGGAGATATTTTGCTAACAGACATGGTTGACATGAACAGTTAATGCTTAAAGTATAATCAAATAATTTGTGCAGTGAGTAGCACCTGGAGTATGTGTTATGAATAACTCTCAGCTACTACCACGCCAAAATTTAGTTTAATGGCTGTAAAACTGGTTGATTTATGGCCATTTCTGTGGTTTTAATGGTCAGTTGGCTGTGTCGGCCATCTTGAATTTGATTGGCACTACAAGTGTTTTAGTTTAACAGTAGTCCCTCATTTATCGCGGGGTCTAGGGCCACCCCCCACCCGTGATAAGTGAAAAAATGCAAAGTAGGGATAGTAGTACAAATGTTTTTGTATTTACAGTAAATCGAATAGTGAATATTTGTAAATTTGTCCAGTTGTTCATGAGATATTTTGCTAACAGACACGTCTGCCTTTACCTTTTATCAGCGTGTGATACCAGTTTATTTTTCTGTTTTAATGAGATTACCACACCAACAGGAGCTGTAAGTGAAAGAACAACCAATTCTCCTGCTTCATTAGAGCTGTGCGCGTCTCCTGGTGATACTCACCCACATCCAGCTTGGTGAGCTCCCCGGAGCTTTCCGACAGGATCTCCCAGTACGTGTGCTCGTGCTCGTCTCCAGACACTCCGTTCACGCTCTCCAGGAACGGGCCAAAGTCTGGGTGCTCCTTCACTGTGAAACTGGTAACACACAGAGAGTCAGGGCTCCTCTCTGGGGGAGGAGTGTCTTGAAAAAGCAGAAATGGGTCGCCATCATCCTTTTTCCTCTTGGGTGCTCTTACCTAAAGCCCGGCTTAGCTTCCTGCAGCCTCCTCAGAGCTCCGAGCAGCACCCCGCCCTCCACCGTGGAGCAGGAGTAGGACTCAGGGCTCAGGTTGGACAAGTCGTTCTCCACAGTCAGCCTGATGGGAAGAGACGCTGGTCCTGCACACAACGCCAAACAGATGCATTGTTTCATTCATAAACATGCAAATGCATTCCCAAAAAGAAAAATACCTTCGTTTGGGAACGCTCCATGAACCAGGAGCAGGAGGAGGCCCACGGTGAGCAGAGCTGCAGGTCTCAGAGCCATCTTCTTCATCTCGCTCTGCTTCTGCATGAACCCATCAGCTACTTATAGACGGCTGAGCCCACGTTTGTCCAAAGTCCTTCAGCAGCTGCACAAAGCGGTCTTTGTTGAGTTCCCAGAAACACACTGTAATGGAGGCTAATGCCGTTGCGATCATTATCAGTCACTGATAATAATAAATAAAGAATTGTTAATGATCAGTTCATGATTAATGATCTGCCACGAGGTTGTTCTTGCACTGTCAGACGTTCTTTTATGTGCCAGACGTTTTATCAGTTAAATCAATAGTTCAAATTTTTTAAAGTGGGATTCTGGGAAATGTTTATGAGGATTTAATATCTTACCTGTTGTAGATACAGTAGGTCTGTTGTTAAAGTTTAATTCTCACCTGATGGACAGCTGATCTCAGTGATGGAAACGAACGAGCGGTCGTCATCACAGTTTGATGCCAGGTCACACCGTCTTCCTGCAGCTTTGATTAGACCACTGACCTTGGTCCAGTTTCCTGGAAAGCTTAATTCAAAAGGCAGACATGTCCATCTGTTTAGACTTGTCTTATTTCTGGGATTTATTTTCTTTTATAATAAACAGGTTTTTCTTCCAGTTCTCCCTAATATTTCTGTCACAACCAGATCAAAGTGGATTGCTGCAAAACTTTCACATCAGTCCAGGTGAACTCTGGTTTATGAACCTTTGCATCACCATCAGTTATTGTAACAGATTTATCAAAGACATTTGTGCTGGAAAAGTAGCAGAAGTTCAGCTACTGGGATTATCTTTGCCGCCAACTGATCATAAAATTCCATGTAAATAAAAGCGTAATGTGAGTGTGATGTAAAAAAGGATGAAATAAGGATTGTGTGATTAAAAAAAAAATAATAAAGAAATTAAGATGAAATAATTTTTTTTAGAAAAAAGAAAGTTTTACACAAAACTCAAAATATTGAACATATTTTAGCCAGTGTGGGAGTAAAAATTTTATCAAAACAAGTAAAACTAGAGAAATTGCATTTCCTGTGAACATGCAGTGTTATTGCAGAAGAACTTGCAGAAAAACAGCAGTAATTAGCAAAAAAAAAAAAAAAACATGTTGAAACATAGCTGAAATTGAAGCACAAGTCTAAATTAGCAAAAGAAAGCCGAAAGAACAAACATTTGTTGAATTAGGTTTAAACAAATAGAAAAGAGCCCCAAAATAGGAAATTGGCTAAAGAAAAGC